ATCCGTGTTGAAGTCCAGTTCTGACCTGCCAGAGGGGGTAGTCCATTTTGTTCGTGGCTATGACTTCAATCGCGGCATCCATCTCGACGACTTGCTTGCCTCCTACTTGACCACAGGATTTCAGGCCACAGAGTTGGCCAGAGCCATAGACGTGGTTAACGCCATGGTCAGTTTTTTCTGACTGTTTAAAAATTCCGTTTTATTGGCCTCGTTTTCTTAATGAGAAATTTTATAATATTTTATTTTTGGATGATACAATTCTGTTTATTGTGTTGTTATCTTATGTTACAATGTACCTACTTGATATTTTGTTTCGAACTGCATGGGCTTCGTCATCGATGAATTCAGTTACTGAAGAATAGAAACGCATTTGCCTTTTATGCTGGCCTTTACGTTCGCTAGAGATGCTGAGGAAACATAAGCCAGGTTAAAGTTTGATGAGGAAAGCCCTAATGGCTAAAATTTAATGTTATATTCACGCATAAGGTCAGGTTTTTGCCTTTATTTCTAGTGGGCAGCTCCATTATCAGATCAAGGTATGAAGACCAAGATGGTGTGACCTGTGTGATCGCAGTCTCCTTTCGTTGTATAGTAGCTGTTTGCCCTTGTTTTCGCAACTTGGTCATATTGGTAAGAAAACTTAGAGGAACGGACTTAGTCCGGAGTCCATTGTATGCATGATAATTATAATCGGACAGTGGACGTGATACATTCCCAGACGTTTCGTCGGCATCGTCAGTGAGTCTCGCCATTTTTACCACCACACAACAACTCGTCAAAAAGACAAGTGAGGCCGATCCTTTGACCAAACGTGTGCTAAACAGTTGTGGTATCAGCCCTTCTGCCCTGGGCTATTCACATTTCCATTATCCGATGTTGGAAAAGCGAAACTACTCATCCTTCTTGTTTGCATATTCTGCAACAACTCAAAATTGCATTAAGTTTGTGCAGACTCTTTTATGCTTGTTTTGTAAATATAATTATGCCGTTTTACTCTTCCTGGTTGCGTTGCTTCCGAACTTTGAATCGTTTCTATATTCCTCTTCTTTATGTTCCTCTCAGTGAATACCAGCGTATTTATAGTGACATTAATACAAAAGATGTTTGGCCTCGAAATTCTTGTCTTCGCATGTAGTATATTTTTCTCTCGATTCTTCTGAAGTATAGGTCTCATATACGTATCAAGCGATCATTTATTTCGAATGTACCTAAATAAATAGGATAAGCTGTTTTAGTTAGATGAAATGCGTGATGGATTCTCCACAATTTCACTTTTGATTTAGAGTGGTAAATTTTGATGCAAAATTGCCGGTTGCATCTGATCTTGCGTTAATGCTTTTACAATGTAAACCAGAAAAGAAAGCGTATGAAAACTAATATAATGTGGCTTCTATTTTGATCACAGTCTCCTTTCGTTTATAGAAGTGGCTTGAACTCGTTTCGCAACTTGGTCGTGTTTTCAGGGCAACCTAGTTGGACGCACTTTGTTCGGGT